TAGTCATCGTCAAACAGTCATACCAAATCAGTTTGCACGACGAGTACGTCCCGTACCTTGATCGGTGAGCGCAAACTCGGTGCAGCCCGATAAATTCGTAGCACGAGTCATTGCACCTCTTGTTCTCATCCGACATACCTGCAGCAAAGCCCGATTGGGCGGCGGCAGATGGGAGCGCACTCGAATACAGATCACGAATTCATACCTTTGATCGAAAAAAGAGATTGGCCTCAATTGGAACCAGTCAATCACGCTACCACCCACCCTTATACGTAGAAGATAGATACGACACATATTAAGAACGCTATATGAGAGAGTCCGGTGGGCTTATCCCTCTAGTGCAACCAATTTGTCCCTTACTATGAAAGACGGCATTGAGTTCTGCCGTGAAACTTTCGCGAGGATTAATCGAACACAACACCCTTATCATGACGAACAGCCCAAAAGCGGCTAAGCACTAAAACTAGCCGACAGACTGGGGCTGATTATGGCCACAAGTGAAGCTGTCAGCTTTATTGTACATCATCGGACAAGCGTTTGGGATAGCGCTAGATGCTCGCATCAGTAATTTCACAGCAATGATTTAATCTGTGGACAGCGTAAAAACTTCGATGCTGTCGACGCGTGAAGTCAGCGACCGTAATGGCTTTGTTCCCAAACTACAAGTCCAGACTTCAGAAGAAAAACTGTTCAATGGCACTGAGCGCACATGTCGCCCAAGAGCAGCCAAAGAAGGCCGTTACGCGTATGGCTGCGAGAAAAGCAAAATGAGTGCGGCCGCCAACTGAAGGCTGATTGGTTGGCACAAGCATGAAGACCGGTACTGCTTGAATAATCAGTTAAGAACATAAGGCCTAAAACCCAGTGAGTCACCAGTGTCAGCAGTGTGCAGGAGGCAACCTGATCAAGGCTGAGCGGGTGTACACGCGGGCATGAATCAACCCTACATGGACGCATTGTTCGGCTGTATTCGCAGCGACAACTCGACGCAGTTACTGCTACTGAGTCAGTTCAAAGGCGAAGATAAATAAGGCTCAGGAGTTGATTCAAGTCTGAAGGACAAGGGTACTTTTTACGATCGTGCCTGCTGTGTGTGTTCGACCATCGATCTCGATGAAGTCTATCGCAGGGGGTTAAGTGAGTCAAACCCAGCAACTGCGATCTTTAGACCATGGTTACTTACTGCAGAAGAGAAGTCGTTGAAGGCCAAAGTAGTAGGAAGAATGTATTGTGTACACAAGGGAAAGGAGAA